TCAGGCAATCCGTCCACCTCGGCCTCCCAAAGTGCCAAGAAGTTTGTTTGTTGATTTTGCTATTCAACGAAGACTGAGTACCTACTGTGAATTCTAGGATTATGTTGATCCAATCTGCCTGATTCTCTAGATTATGGGTTGGCAGAAGGGCCAGATAGTAAATATTTAGGCATGTGGGCTACGTAAGTCCTCTGTTGCATATTTAAAAAATCCTTCAAGTATCATTTAAAATTTTATGTTAGCCACTTTTACTGGAGATCTTTTTCACATTTGTTACAAACTTGGACACTTTTCTTTTTAGCTTTTTATTATGGAAAATATCAAACCATATACTAAAGTAGAGAGAAAAACGTATCAAGTCCTCATGTTGTCCACTTTAACAACTGCCAACATATGACCATAACAATTAACAACATATGACTAATCTTATTTTACCTTTACCTCCCTCCCTCATTAGTTTGAATCGGATTTGAGTTATTTTATTGGTAAATATTTCAGTATTCTGATATTCAGTTGATCTTTTTTGTTTATCCTTCCATCAGGGCCATACTGTCTTGATTACTGTAGCATTATATTAAGTATAGAAGTCAGTTGGGTTAAATTCTCCAATTTTTTTCTCAGCTATTCTTGGACTTTTGCCTTTCTAAGTCAAATTTAAAATTCTTTTGTCAGTTTCTAGAAAGAAGCCTTCTGGGCTTTCGATTTCTTTTTCATTTGTTGTGAAACAAATTATATCAAATGGGCTTTTGAGTTTGATTACATTGAATCTAAAGATCAATTCTGGGAGAATTGACATCCTTAACAATAGTCTTTTGATCCGTGAATGTGGTTTATCTCTCCCTTTATTTAGGTCTTTAGGTTCTCAATATTTTCTAGTTTTCAGTATACAAATTCTGCACATCTCTTGGTACATAGATTTCTAAATATTTCATGCTTTTTGCTGCTATTGTGAAGTTTTTAAAAAGTAAATTTTTAATTGTTTGTTGATAGTATATATGCTTTAAGTAGTGAATTATCTGTTTAGAAAATTAAAACGAGAAAAGGCCTTGGTTTTTTATATTATGTTAAACATATTAGTTTTGTTTACACATTCTTCTGGTGTGCTTTATTGTCTGTAGAAATGTTACTCTACAGCCTGGGCAAAATACTGAGAACCTGTCTCTCAAGAAAAAAAAATTAACCAGATGTGGTACTGCACACCTTTAGTCCCAGCTACTTGCGGGGCTGAGATGGGAGGATTGCTTGACAGGAGGTCAAGACAGCAGTGAGCTCTGATTGCGCCATTGCTCTCTAGTCTGGGCAACACGGTGAAACCATGTATCAAAAAACAAAAAGTTGCTCAATGTATTCTCATTTTTCTTACAAATACTTTGTATGGAAGTTGATTAGAATACTTTCAGGCGTTATTTCTTCAATTTTTTCTTCCCTCCTCTCCCATTCTTACCTCTTTCGAGATTCCAGTTCTTTCTGTTATTTGTCTTTGAGATGGCTTTTTCTGTACTACTTTCATTTTATTTTATTTCAGTGTTTTTGAGACAAGGTCTTCCTCTGTTGTCCAGGCTGGATTACAGTGGTGTGATCATGGCTCACTGCAACCTCGACCTCCCAGGCTCAAGCAATCCTCCTGCTTCAGCCTCCCTAGTAGCTGAGACTACAGGCACGCACCACCATGCCCAGCTAATTTTTAAATTTGTTGTAGAAATGAGGTTTTGCCATGTTGCCAAGACTTGTCTCGGATTCCTGAGCTTAAGCGATGCGCCTGCCTTGGCCTCCCAAAGTGCTAGGATTATTGGCGTGCTCAGCCACCATGCCCAGCAGTGTGCTACTTTTATGTGGAGAGGGTTGAGCAGGCTAGCTTTGTGGCTCTAGGACTTCTCCTCTTCTGTTTTTTTTTTTTTTTTTTTTTTTGTGACGGAGTCTTACTCTTGTCACCCAGGCTAGAGTGCAGTGGTGTGATCTCAGCTCACTGCAAGCTCTGCCTTCTGGGTTCAAGTGATTCTCTTTCCTCAGCCTCCCGGGTAGCTGGGACTACAGGCATGTGCCACCACTCCTGGCTAATTTTTTTGTATTTTTAGTAGAGATGCTGTTTCACCGTGTTGGCCAGGATGGTCTCGATCTCTTGTCCTTGTGATCCACCTGCCTCGGCCTCCCAAAGTGCTGGGATTACAGGCGTGAGCCACCACGCCCAGCCCTCTTCTGTTCTTGTGTAGTATTCAGAAATATACTTCCTGAGTGCCTTTGCTTTTTTCCTTTCCTACTTTTATCTAGAGCGGAATTTTTTACCCTCTGTACTATTGGCATTTTTACCCTCTGTACTATTGGCATACCCTCTGTACTATTGGCCAGATAATCTTTGCTGTGGTAGAGTTGTCCTCTGTATTGTAGGATGTTCAGTGACATCCTGGCCTCTACCTACTAAATGCCAGGGACTTTCCCTCTGCCCTGCCTGGTCCTGTTATGATGACCAAAAATGTTTTCATATTCATATGTCCACTGAGAGTCAGAATCATTTTACACCTTTCCTTTTCTCCTGATGGCTCTGTACTGTCCAGTTTAAGTTTCTCTTCCTGGTAGTTTCTGCTGTTGCTTTTTCTTGGAAGGGAACCTCATTTTGTTTGGAGGTCTCTGATCTTTCTGTGGTCCCCTTGCATTTACCTATGAATTGTAGCCTATGAAGCTGCTTGCCTATTTTGGTTGTGGTACATTGATGTGGGCTGCTTAGTTTGGTGAGTGAGGGGGAGAAGGTATTACCTATAAGCAATTTGATTTCTGCATGTTCTGTTTTTAAGACTGTTTCAAATCCCATTCCCTTTTCTTTTACCGTGTCTGATACCGTGTGAATCTTGCTGCTGTTGGTATTTGTCGCACTCCTGAGTGTTCATGATGAATACTTGGTCAGTCAATTGTGTTTTATTTTTTGGCCACATTTTGGTTTGGTTTGATCTCTTTGATTTATTCTCCTAGTTGCTCTGTCTTTTGTGGGGTGGGTATTCAGAGATTTTAAAGAAAGTTATGCTTCTTTCATTGCCAAATTGCCTAGAATGCCTCTGCCTTCTTAAAATGAGGATCCTAAATATGTGAAAGACAACATTTTTCATGATGGGTGATATTTTTGCCTCATTATGGACTATAAGGCAGTCCTAGAGAGGGAGGGATTGAAAATACAAGAGCAGGACTAAAAAACTGGTAGAGGTGTTTGTGCCCTTAAGGTGACCAGAAGGCTTGAATACAAAATTATTGGTAGAGAGATTAGCTTTGAATGGGGAAAAGGGCGCCTTTCCCCACCCCCCCCAAATATGTTTGTTTTTAGGTCTGTGGTTAAGAGGCTGAGGAATATCGCATTTGCTATTCTCAATTTTCGTAGTAAACTTTAACTGTATCTGCTAGAGAAAGGGAGATAAGTTTAGAGGGCTTGAAGAAGATAGTAAACGTTTTGGAATGGTATAATGAAAAACAGAAGCGATATCTAACCAAAGACTTGGAAGAAATTGCTAAGTGATGCTAAGGGCCAACCTAAGACTAAACTTGAAATACTCCAATTTTATAATTTTAATTTTTTTTTTCAGTTTTGTCTCTTAGCAACTTAGATGTAAGAGCAGAGAAGGTGTTTTTTTTTTGTTTTTTTTTTTGTTTTAATTGACCTAAGATTAGGGTTTTGTAGGACAAGTATTAGAACATGACAAGGTAGATAATGTTGTTAAGGTATGATAAGAGAGTGGTTCAAGGGATGCACTGTGTGGTGTAGACTGCATAGGAAAAGAAATAACACCATTTAGGTACTGATGGCTTGGCGGAAAAGGGAGGATTCAAAGGAATCTAGATCTCTTGTGGTTGTAGAGCAGGTATGAGGAGAGTGAGAAAGTGTGAATTGGATAGGAGATTGAAGCCAAGATAGTATATTGGAATTTAAAATTTCAGAGCTAGAGCAGTTCCAGTTTATTGTAAAGACCACATTATAGGAGTGTATACTGATGAAGAATACTGGAGGAAATAAAAGTCCAGAAACGGAGTATGTCGTGATATATAGCCCATTTCAAATAGGGAAATCACCTATGTTGATGGCAAGAATTGGGCTAGAGGGAAAAGTGTGAACCAGATCAGTAGATAAAAGGGTGGTAGGGTCAGTTGTGATGGCTCACACCTGTAATACCAGCACTTTGGGAGGCTGAGGCAGGCGGATCACTTAAGGTCAGGAGTTCGAGAGCAGCCTGGCCAACATGGCAAAACCCTGTCTCTACAAAAATCGAAAAATTAGCCGAGTGTGGTGGCAGATGCCTGTATTCGCAGCTACTTGGGAGGCTGAGGTAGGAGAATCGGTTGAACCCAGGAAGCTGAGGTTGCGGTTAGCCGAGATCGCACCACTGCATTCCAGGCTGGGCGACGAATAAGATTCTGTCTCAAAAAAAAAAAAAAAAAAAGGTGGTAAGTACATGGCAACATGAAGTTAGGGTTCAGGGCATTATTACAAGAATGGGACAGGGGGTGGTTTGCATGAGCCCAGAAGACCAGGGACTGGTGACATCTCTTATATTTGGTATTTGTGGGTGTGAATACTAGGGATTGGGCAAACTTCTTTAAGAGCCAAATAGTAAATACTTTAGGCTTTGCCACTCACATATTGTTTCTGTTGCATATTCTTATTTGTTTGTTTTCATAATCCTTTAGAAATGTAAAAAAATTCTTTGCTCAGGGGCCATACAAATACAGTGAGCAAGTGTTAAACAGTTTGCTGACCCATGGATTATTTTTATTATGAAGTATCTGTGTCTGTACTTTTCTGTGAGTTGTAAATTTTACTTTGTAAAATTTATATATAGTTTTTCAGACCATTCTCCTCCTGTACTTGAGTAATAGTAGCTTTGTTTTGGAAACTATTAAGAAGATAATATATATTCCCTTTTAAAATAGTGTCAATATAATTAATTTATACTTCTCCAAATGGCAATTACTTTTACATTGCTGAACAAAACTTTTACTTTTTTTTTTGCGGTGGATTCAAGTTGAGTCAGCAGATACTGGAGTTATTTGAAACATGTCAGCAGCATATAAGTGATTTAAAGAAGAAAGAACTCTGTCGAACCCAGCTGCAGAGAGAAATTCAGCTGTTATTTCCACGTATGTTTCCCTATTTTGCATGCCCTTTAGGTATATGGTTTCCTATTTTAAATTTTATCTTTTTTTTTTTTAATAGGCACAGAACCAGTGCACCTTGTTTAGATTTTAAGTACTCTTACTACTTTCTTCTGTTTCTTTAGAAAGCAGACTTTTTTTGGTTGGGTCCTCTTTAAATGGATTTGGTACCCGGAGCAGTGATGGTGATTTATGCCTAGTTGTTAAGGAAGAACCAGTAAGTAAGGAAACATTTATTCCAAGTGTGTTTCTCGTGTTAATGGGTTAAGAAATTTTACATAAAAGTCATTGAGGAAAAAAATTTGCTTTGTTGTGATTACTTCTTTGTATTTTGTTTACCATAATTGCAGGAAACCTAGGAAATTTTTTATTTTTAAGGCATGTGCACAATAAGCTAAGTAATAGGAAGTATAGCATTAATTTAATTCTAAGTTTTTAAAGTGAGATGGCTTCACTATGTGTTGTTTTTTTTTTTTTCAAGAACTCTGCCTCTGTTTTGAAATGTCATTAGTTTGGATATGTTATCAGGATGCAGCAAAGAAGAGCATGTGGCAATATTATTTTCTTGATATATTTCCTTTCCATTTGAATTCTCAGTGATTCTATTTTTAATCTTTACTTTTTTTTCTCCTTGAAAATGCTTGTTAAGGGAAAATAGGTTTCACTGAAATTTAAAATAAGACTATCATGTTTATTAAATTTAAAATATTTTTCTCTGACATTTTGCCTTTGTTTTTTTTTTTTTCTTTTTCTTTAGCAACGATACTGTGTTATTTAGTACAGGTTGAGTATTCCTTATCTAAAATGCTTGGGACCAGAGTTTTTTGGATTTGAGATTTATTTTTTTTTTTGGAATACTTGCACTATACTTAACATTTGAACATCCCTGATCCAGATCTGAAATGCTCCAATGAACATTTCCTTTGAGTATCATGTCAGCACTCAAAAAGTTTCAGATTTCGGATTTCAAGTTTTTGGATTAGGGATGTTCAACCTGTAGTATGTTTACCTGAATTTCCAGTTAACTGATACTCCTGTGTTTAATACTGCAGTAATTGGTGTTCGTTAAGCTGACTTGAGGCAGCCTCTTTAAGATGCTGAGGTTTCTTCTGAACTACCAGTGATTAAATTAAGCTCAGTGTAATTTTAATATGCCTTATTATGTTTTACATCTTTAAAAATACAAAAAATTATTGAATGTTAATGTATAATTTTACTATTCATATTATTCCACTAGCAAAAATGACTTCTAGTTACTGCAAATCAGAAAGAGATTTATTCCAGGAAAAATATTTTTCTAGGCTTTGAAATCATATAAAGAGAAAGTTTAAAAAAACCTCACATTATTAACAGTGGAGAATACAAGGGTTGTAATTAAAACTTTTTTGTGCTGCTAGATTATACTCAAGCACATCCCACTCATCCTCTAGTCTTATTCACATGTCTAAATCATGTTGTCATAGCTTTTACACAAACTGAGGCACCATGGATATGAAACTATCCTTGAGCAGCTTAAGATCTAGATAAGGCTAAAATTCTGTTTATTTTTGTTGGAGGTTGCTTTTTGTACAGTGTTATACTGAAGGGAAAAATGACATAAATGGCTGTTTCAGAATTTCTTTGAAAACTGTGCTTTTAAGCTTAAAATCAGGAATTGATTTAGAAATGTAGATGTGAAAGATAGCATTAAAGGTTGATTTTTTCTATAATTTAGAAAAATAAGTTTCTTTGGGTATATTGAAAAATAACTCCAAAGGAAAGTATATCTTGTATGTTTTGTTTTTGTTGAGATACGTTAGGAAAATGAAACATTAAGCTGAGAAAGATAATGAAAAAACACTTTATTTTTAACTTTTCAGTGTTTTTTTCAGGTAAATCAGAAGACTGAAGCACGGCATATACTCACCTTAGTCCATAAACACTTCTGTACTAGACTTTGTAAGTCTGACATGCCTCAAGTTTGTATGTCACCTGACATAACTTTATTTAAAATGCCTCTTACATTATCTTCTGGTAAGAATTGTTTATTCTGGTCAGGATAGGTATAATATGGATCCTTTTTTCCAAATGAATTTCTTTTAACTTTTGATTAAAAAGAAGAGTGATCATTTATTCAGCGTATCTTTATGGCTCTTACTGCAAAATATACCACCTGCTGCAGTGGGGGGGATTCAAAGATATGTAAGTTTTAGTTCTTTTTCTCAAAAGTTTATAGATTGTTAGGGAAATTAAAGCATGAATATAAATAGTTGTAATAACAGAGTATCTGTGAAAAGCTAAAAGTGTTGATACACATAAAGTCCAGATGAGAATTTCATCTGGCTTGCAATGATATGCATCTTTACTTGTTTTAAAAATAAGATCACTGAACATGAGACCTAAATGTATGACTTCAACAGAAAGCAAATTGTTTACTTAAGCCATTTTACAAATTTACTTTTTGAATACACTGACTCTAAACAGATTTTAATCCACATGTTAAGCCATCTCAAATAATTTCTTTTTATATAGAATTTTATAGAAAGTTGAAGTTATCCTGTGTGATATTGGAAAGACACTTGTTCATTTGTTGAACAGACATTCATTATATGCCAGACTTTGAGCTGGAATGTACAAGTCAAGTAACAAGTCACTGTCTTTGAATAACTTACATCTACTGTAGAAGAGAAATAAATGAAGTGATTTATTTCTTTGGACCTAGGCTTCTGCATTCTGAATTATTCTGTAAAATAAAGAATAATTCATACCTAAGTGGATTTTTAATAGCTATTTGAATCAAAATATTAAAAACGGAAGGTACCTTAAAGATCATGTAATTCACATGAATTTTTTTTTTCTTTTTCTTTTGGTTATTTTTAATAGTTAAGGAAACTGGTGATCAATGGATTTAGTAACTTGCTTGGACTATAGTTTGTTGGTCTCAGAACCTGTACTTATTACTCAAAACTTTTAACTCCTAATTTTATTTTTCTGAATTCCTGCACATAAATTCTATTTTGAAGCTTGATATAGTCTTTTTTTTTTTTTTTTTTTTGAGACAGAGTCTCGCTCTCTCACCAGGCTGGAGTGCAGTAGCACGATCGCAGGTCACTGCAACCTCCCCCTCCCTGGTTTAAGCGATTCTCATGCCTCAGCCTCCCTATTAACTGGCATTACAGGTGTGTGCCACCTCAACTGGCTAATTTTTGTATTTTTAGTAGAGACGGGGTTTTGCCATGTTGGCCAGGCCTGTCTCAAACTCCTGGCCTCAAGTGATACATACACTTTGACCTCCCAAAGTGCTAGGATTACAGGCGTGAACCACCAAGCCCAGCTGATATAGATTCTGTAATTTTGATGGTAAAACATTATAACAGAAAATTTTCGGGTTTAAAAAAATCCTGGTACTACTTTTTCTGTAGTTAAAAAATTAGAAAATTGCTCATTTGGGAAAGATTTTCAGAATTGCATTTTTATACACTTCTGTATTTTCCTAATTTTCTATGATAAGCATGTATTACTTTCAACTCAATAATTTTTTAGTTTGATGGAATAAAAATATGTATATACTTTTATTATATGTTGTATATGATATGTGTATATATGTAATACATATGTGTATATATTTGAATTTCCTATCAACTGATACTCCTGTGTATAATAGCACAATAATTGGTGTTCACTAAGCTGTTCTGAATTTTTCACTTGTAGAGATCATGTGTATAATAAATATATGTATTTTTCACTCATAGAGATCACACTTACTGAATGCATCCAAGCCCCATGTATCATGTTGCAAAGCATTTCCACACATAAGACTCTGTAAATATGATTTCTATAGTTACCATGATACCTTACTCTGTGCTGTACCAAAATTAGCTATTCCCTCTGCTGCTAGCTTAGATATATTTTCACTCTTACAGTGATCTGATGAACTTCTCTATAGATACTATATTAGACCACATTCCTGAAAATAACCTTAATATAAAGCCCCCTAAATGATATTACTGGAGCCTCCAACCTTAGAAGAATTTGATAATGTCCTTGCTTGTATTCTTTTTCACAGACGTTTTCTTAAAATTATTTTAGCTTAGTAAATACTATTTTTTTTAAAATGTGCATTGGAACACTCTGAATTCTAGAAACATTTGCCGATATTCACATTATCTTTTGTCTTTCAGCGGGCTACATTGAGAGACCTCAGCTGATTCGAGCAAAAGTGCCAATTGTGAAGTTCAGGGATAAAGTCAGGTAAGTAATTAATGAGCTTTCTTTTTTCAGTTCCTTTAGATCATTTTTAGATACTCATCTGATAAAGATAATTAAGAATTGTATGTTGTAGCACTACAGTTTATTTTCATCAGTTTTTAGAAATCATTTGACTTGGTGTTTGAAATGGTTTTTTAAAATTGAGCGATATTTTATGCTTAACTATACTTAGCTATTCTGCTTGACATTTTGAATATGTGAGACTATCCAATTTAAAGAGTATGTACATATTTGTATTTTAGATTTTTAAATGATCACTTGCCTTTTGGAAGTAATGCGTTCTGAAGAACATAATTAATGAAATTTGACATACTAATATCAAGGATTTGTTGTAAATACAATTATGATTAAACAAGTTATGTTTCATTTTAATGAAAGATACATATAATACCTAGAGAATAGATAATGAACGAACAACAGCAAAATATACTTGTTCCATTTCAAAATTTATATTTATATGTTCTACCAGCTTGGGTTCTGAATTTCTTATGGGCATTAGAATTGGGATCTTTTATATAATATCTGAATGCAAAATGTAAATAGATGTTGATTATTTCATTCAACTGATTTGTTACTGTTTTCTAAAAATAGAATTGTGACAGATTTCATAAAATTTGTCCAGTTTTACAAAATTAATACTGAAATTATGCCCCCCCACACACATTATTGATCCTTATCTTTCATAGATTGTGTTTGCACCAATTTGCCTACTTGCTAAAAGTTATTTTAACTCCCCACATAAATATTCATACGCTTTAGCAGTCATTTCATGGGCATACACAGAGTGGTGAAAATTTCAAATCACCCAATACCATGTTTCCAGCTGAGATAGAATTAGGTGACACACTGTCTTCTTGTTCAGCTTCGTACTGTAAACAGATAACCTCCTCATAGTCTAATTAATGCCATATTTTTCACATTTTTGTGCTTTTTTTGCTTTTTAAAATGGCCCCCAAGCATAGTGTGGAGTTACTTTCTAGTGTCCCCAAGTGCAGGAAGGCTGTGATGGTGCCCTATGGAGAAAATATGTGTTAGGTAGGCTTTGCTCAGGCGTGAGTTACAGTACTCTTGGCCATGAGTCCACTGTTAATGAATCAACCGTATATGTATTAAATACAATGTCTTCAAACAGAAGCACAACATAAAACTTGGTTACATATTGATGAGTTTATGAAAATGTGACCAGGCTGGCAGAAACCTAACCCTGTGCTTACCCTAGGAGCAATGATATATAGTATTTATTAATTCAGTGTTTGCAGCAACTTTATAGAATGTGGCTACTATGAATGATGAAAATTGACTGAATATATATATTTTAAACAAACTTTAATGCCTGGCTCAAGCCATTCCTTTATATATCTAAACATCAGTCAGATCTATAAATACTTATTAAATTTCTGCCAAGTAAATTGTGTCAGATTTTCCTAAAGCAGATATGAAATATGTAGGGAGATAAAACATAAAGTTATTATCTAATTATAAGTTTTTAATAATATATGGTTGTAGTTATAGTTACAAAAATAGTTTTATTCTTTTTCTGTTTTAAGATTATCATACAAACTTTTTTTGTTCTTAAGCATTTTTTTTTTTTAAGAGACAGAGTTTTACTGTGTTGCCCAGGCTGGAGTACAGTGGCATGATCATAGCTCACTGTAACCTCAAATTCCTGGACTCAAGTGATCCTCCCATTTCAGCCTCCTGAGTAGGTAGGACTACAGGCACACACCAACACACTAGGTTAATTTTTGTATTTTTGGTAGAGACAGGGTCTTGCCATGTTGCCCAGGCTAGTTTTGAACCCCTGGCCTCAAGCAATCCTCCTACCTTAGCCTCCCAAAGTTCTGGAATTACAGGAGTGTGCTGCTGTACCTAGCCAAATCCTACTTCCCAACAGAACCATATCTCATGAATATTTGGTTATATCATTAAGTATTGTTCTACAGCTCATTTTTAATGGCTTTATATTTTTTCATTGAGTGAATAAGTAAGTTCTCATTAACTTAACCATTCCCCTGTGTTTGAACATTTGGTGTGTTTCTAGTTTTTAGATAACATAAATAAGCATTTTGTGCATAAATTCTTTCCATATTGAGGATCACTTTTTTAGTATTTCTAGAAGTAGTATTGAAGCAGGGACTATGGATATTTTTAAAGCCCTGAATTCAATTTTGGAAAAATTTTTAACTGCAGACTAGTTGCCATCTATGTGTTTTTCTTTTCTATTGAGTTACTATATGGATGCAGTACAAATTGGCTTCAGTGTTAGACTTACACAAACACAAAGAATAACTCTATTGTTACTGTAAGTTTCCCAAAGCCAAATAATGTATAATATCTGAAGTGTTAATACTACTATTCATTTTTATTAATATGCCTGGGTAATGGAAAGATTGTAAGATTTCTTTTGTTCCCCCAAATAAGAAAGACTGAAATGGTAGATTTCAAATTTTATACTTAAAATCTGTAATTAATATAGAAAGATTTCATTTTTATTTTAGACAGTCTTTTCACAGAAAAATTTAGTATTTATAAGTTGGGATCTCACATGGGTATAAGTAGAACTGACTTACAGAAAGTAATCCTTCGTTTTTGTATGAGTTTAGCCGTTTTTTGTAGATTGCGTCATTATTGCCCTATTTTCTTTTTTTTTGTTTTTTTTTGAGACGGCGTCTCGCTTTGTTGCCCAGGCTGGAGTGCAGTGGTGCAATCTTGGCTCACTGCAAGCTCCACCTCCCAGATTCATACCATTCTGCTGCCTCAGCCTCCAAGTAGCTGGGACTACAGGCGCGCACTACCACACCTGGCTAATTTTTTGTATTTTTAGTAGAGACAGGGTTTCACCGTGTTAGCCAGGATGGTCTCGATCTACTGACCTTGTGGTCCACCCGCCTTGGCCTCCCAAAGTGCTGGGATTACAGGCTTGAGCCACCGCACCTGGCCATTGCCCTGTTTTTTAAATTATGAACTGCATATATTTGCTTCCAAATAAATAATCATTATGTGTTTGAGTATTATAGATAGCTTTTTCCAGGTATCAGTAGCCAAATTTGACATGATACTGTAATTTACTAGCCATTTTAGAGGAAATATAATGTGTAGACAGAGCTTTTAAATTTTTTTCCCCTGCATTTTATTTGGCTTTTTATTCCTGTTGTTTTAAAGTATATGATGCTATAATTCCAGATCATTTGAGAATGTATAACTTAATGGGATAGCTTGCTCAGAAATGTTTTTGGTCACATAGTTTTGTTTATCTGGAAACGACTGTGAGATTTAAACATTTTCAGCTGGATATGGTGGCTCCTACCTATAATACTGGTGATTTGGGAGGCTGAGGTGGGGGGACTGCTTGAGCCCAGGAGCTTGAGGCTGGAGTAAGCTATGATTATGCTACTGCACTCCAGCCTGGGCCACAGAGCGAGAGTCCATCTTTTTAAAGAAAAAAAAAAAATTTTTTTCTTTGGGGTAATTGGAGCCTTAGCAGTATGTTACTGATTTTTCCACTAGTCTTATTTTATATTTTCAGTACTCACCAAATCACATCAAAATAACATACTGAGTATTTGTTCATTCTTATTTCTTTAGTGTGTCATGTTAAAAACACAGGTCTATGGCCTTTGGGCCCATGCTATTTTGCATCATGGGATGGATGAGCATTAATTTAGTTATTAGGAAGGAAGTGTTTTTGTTCTTCAGCTAAAGTTTATTGTTTTTTTTTTTTCTTAAATAGTTGTGTGGAGTTTGACCTGAATGTAAACAATGTTGTTGGAATAAGAAACACATTCCTTCTCAGAACTTATGCATACCGTAAGTTTGTGGTTTGTTTATAAAAAATTAGCCTCTTTTTTCTTTATTCATTTTTAAAGATGTTTGTCATAAATAGTGACATCCCTTTAGTTGTGTTTAAGTATATCTTATTTTATTTGTATATGTTGCCACACTAAAATCATATACTATCAGTTATAGGTGAATCAAGTGGCATTTTAATAATTGGTAATTTTTAAAAGGTAACTAAGGTGAGTTTTAGACATAAGACACATTTGTGGTGAACAGACACAGTGTTTAATGTACACAGAGACAGTGCTCTTTATTTTGGCATGGATCTGGGAAATAATGTAAACTTTCAAAGAAACTATAATGTCTCTTACCATGTTAAGTTTTAATTTTACTTTCAGTTGAAAATCGAGTTCGTCCGTTAGTGCTGGTGATTAAGAAGTGGGCAAGTCACCATCAGATAAATGATGCCAGTCGTGGTACTTTAAGCAGCTATAGTCTTGTATTGATGGTTTTGCACTATTTACAAAGTAAGTATAATGGGGTTTTACCCAATTTTTAAAAGTAAAAGACAGTTAGCTTTATTATGGTGTTTTCTCTGTTGACCCTATTTTCAAATAGTATTGTTTTAAAAGTTCTTTCTAGAGTCCACAAAACACATTTCCTGTTTTGTTGTTTTGGACAAATGTTTTAAAAGTGTTATTCCTTGGAAAATATTAAGAAGTTTCACTGTTTTTTTACTTTTTGAAAGTTTTTTTTATAGTCACTTTTGTTTTCAAAGAACTTTCACCACTGTATTGTGGACCCATTATCTTGAGGCAGACGAATGTTCAAAAGGTCTATAAAAGTTAGTTCAAGCACTGTTCATCATATTTTTAATTTTTAATTTGAGACAGGGATTAAATGATTTTCCTGTTGGTTAAAGAAGCTTTTAATCTGAGTTGCCTTCCTCAACTAGATTTTATCTTTATAGGACTGTTGTATCAGTTGGCTCCCAAATTTTAATTTTGTCTGGTTAGTCATTGTTTATAAGGCCATTCTGGTAAAAGCCATACTTTTGTCGCATGCATAGTGACAAACAGTAATAAGCGAACACCTGTAATTTGGACCATTCATTAGATAAGTGTGAGAATTTTTATGGTATTGAAAATTTCCTAGAAGTATGGGACAGACTGACTAGATCTAATTGAAATCCTTACTTTCATATTTCTCAAAAATATCTTATGTATACAACAATCTAAGAAATAAACATTAAGCCACTTTATATTTTCTACTTAGTTGGACATCAAGAGTTGTTAAAAGATGGATACATCTACTGTTTTGTAGTTATTAGACCAGGAGACTGAGATGTTTAATGACTAACCAACTGAACATACGAATAAGTGGTGACATGAGGACCAAGTGAAAGACTTGGTGTGAATGTAGTAGAAGATCATTTGCCAGGATGTCTGGGGCTTGATCTGTTCTGGATTGATGATATTTCCACAGTTTAGAGTCTCGGTTTCCAAAGATTACAATAATAGGAGAAAACATATTTTAGCATATATAATACTTATTTCTTCATTCCATGAATATATATAGAATACATACCAAGAAAATGTTAGGTATTCTAGGATCTGAGAATACAGCAGTGAACACAATACAAAAACAATTATCTTCTTCATGAAGCTTACATTTTCGACTTGTAAAATGTAACATTTTTGTAGCTGTTACCTACCAAAATATGAATTATTAAGCAACTCACAGATTACTAATAAAATGTGACATTTTTACCACCGTTGTGAGTTGAGCTGCTGATAGAGCACTGTCAACATGTGATATGCTCAGTAACAAATGAATTATTACAGTGTAGTCATTTAAAAAAGCCTGTTGAAAATTATCCTTTTGTTGTATTGTTTGATGCTTTTTGTATTTAGATTCTGAGAGAGATAACAGATAATATTAGCAATTTTGTCAACAGCAGCTTAGTCTTGGAAAGTTGAGATGATTTGATGCCTTTACAGCTGTGTTTCTGTATTGAGGATACTGGGAACTGGGAAAAGGAGAAGACACCCTTTCCTTGTTATATAGATCAGAAATGGTTAGAGTTGGGGATTACAATTTTGTTAGCCCAGTTCCTGGTAGACTGGGCTTCTTTGGATAGGGATTGGAGGATGATACCTAAGTTGAGAATTTCTGTGTGATGAGCCACTTTTACTAATAGGAGGATAGATAGAACTGGTTGGGACAAAAATGAAGATTGTCCTACCAATGCCTTAAAAAAGAGCAGTTCAGAGGGAAGATTGGTTGTCAGGAATTCTCTATTTTGTTTCAGAATTATTATGTTTAAAATAATACTTAAAACATAGTGATATTAAAATAGTTATTTTACATTTTAAAATTCATTTTGAATAAGTTGTGCATATATCATAGAAAATCCTGAGAATATACTAAAGTGGACCAAAAAAAAAATACATTGCCCATGTATTTTCACACCCAAAGATTGTTATTGTTAACATTTGTTTTATTTTTTTCTGGTTTTTGTTTTCTTTGCAAAGGTTTCAAAATGTTTAGCCAAACCTAAATGCGTAAATGTCAAGTTCAGGTCTTTTAATTCCAAAAGTTGGCAACAAATAAGTAACTGTAAATGGTGTGTGTTCTTTTTTCCTCTACAAAATCATGGTCTTCTTAAATAATGTTCTTACATTTTCTTTTACCTGTTCATTACATGATTCTCAGACTTTTAGATTTCAAGGAAGAGTAATGTCCAAAAAAAGAAAAGAACCAAACTGGAGTTTTTATTTTGCTGTGTTAAGTATCAGAACCAAAAAACTGCTACCAATTACTACCATTACTTCATAAAAGATGGTGCATAAAATACCAAAAAAGCAATGATATAATCTCAGAATAATGGACAGACCATCACAAAACAGTGTAATTGTTACACGCCTCCCACTTTTGGCACATACACACACGTTTTAATTTTTTTAGTTTATCACAGCTTAGAAACCTTTCCTCTATGGTGAAGAATTTGGGGAACATTTTTTCATATTTATTTTTTAATTGGAGTAGTCTTAGAGCTAGCTAGTTCCCAAAATCTTGATTCTACCTTTAGACATATCTTCATCCCATCTTTGTCTGGAGATAGGGTGCCATTATTTGACCGAAGTGTTTATGTTATTGTTCTTAATTTCATAGTGTGTCAACCTTGTCCCTTCTTGGTAATCAAAGTTTTATGGTATGCTCCTAGGGTGAATTTGGCATTCTACATTCTTGACAGAATATAATAATATACTCTGTCCTATTACTTACAAAATTTCACTTGAACATGTATTACAGATGTAGGGGTTAATATTCTTAAATTGGCAGTTTTTAAAAATGACAAAATGGAATACACAGTCATGCTTAGAGTGTTGATTTGGTACAACCCCTTTAGAAGGCAGTGTTGTATATTTATATAATGTTCTTTGACTCAGTTATTTCATTTCTAGAAATTTATCCTAATGTAATAATGAGTGGTGCATATATGGATGTACCTGTAAGGCTATTTTTTTATGGTGTTATGTAAATAATAAAAGATTAGAAGTGCTCTTAAATTTTCTGGAATAGGGGAATGGTTAAATTAATTACGATATACCCTAATATGAGATCTGCATAGCAACTAACGATCATGTTTTTAATATATTTAATGATACAAGAAAATATTCATGATATATTGTCTCATATATCATAATACCAATTTTGTTTAAAAATAATAACTGTGTATATATTTGTATATGTGCAAATACCGAAAAGGTAGGTGCCAAAGTTATATCAGAGGTTATTTATGGACAGTTTAGCGAAGTTCTCTGTACTTCACCGTACTTGCAGATGTTTTATAATATATGAGAGTATATTTTCCTTTGGATGCTGGTCTCAGATTTTTTTTTGACTTACCAAGAGAGACAAAATAGTTTAAATGGGCCAACATTTTTATGAATCAGTCATCAGAGAGGTTTGATAATCTTTTTTAATGTTAAAATATTTCAGGCTAATCTTAATACATGTATTTTTATTGCTGACCGGTCTTGAATATGTGCTGGTTTGATGAATCATTTGCCCCTCTAAAAGAATTCGAAACATACGACATTGGCTATTTTAGATACTACTTTATGTGTCATTAATCATTTTTGTCCAGTTTTACAAAATACATGTCTATATATATATATATTACTTTATAATATATGTTCAGGTGAACTCTAAACATTTTTTTTCAGTGAACTCTGTTCTCTTGTGGATTACAGTTTACTTTCATTAAAAATGGAATAGGATTTCTTATATATATAAAATATAAAAGATATGTAGCACTCACCACCATTCACTTTATATTTTAGTTGTGATTTAAAAATGAGATTTGACTAAAGCATTTAGCATACATGATCATCCATAATATGTGCCCTACTCCTTAATTCTTACTGGTTACCTTAGAAATTTTAAATGTGATTGACTTCTTTAGATAAATGTACGTTAATCACACATGCCCCAATGTGGTATTGAAAGCAAATTAAAAATTTTAAACTGGGACCAGGCTCAGTGGCTCATGCCTGTAATCCCAAGTGCTTTGGGAGGCTGAGGCGGGAGGATTGCTTGAGACCAGGAGTTTGAGACCAGCCTGAGCAACATAGTGAGACTCCCCCATCTACAGAAATAAAAAATAAAAAAAATTAGTTGGGCATGGTGGCACATATCATTAGTCCTAGCTACTCAGGAGGCTAAGGTGGGAGGATTGTTTGAGCCCAGGAGTTTGAGGTTGCAGTGAGCTGTGATTATGCCACTGCATTTCAGTCTGGTCAGCAGAGTGACTCTTTCTTAACAAAACAAAAAAATTAAACATTGCTATTTTGCCAGCCTATTAAAATCATACTAAAATTTAGTTTAGACTTTGCCCAACATTTTATTTTTGACAGAGTGGTCCCATTTACTGAAGTGGTTTGTAATTAATAGCACTGCATTCAGCCATTCCTAGGTCTTTCTTGAAGGACATCAGCTACCCAGAGCTAATGTGTAACTCTACACTGGCAAATTTAAGCTACTCCTCCCTAGAAGAAATGAGAGTGATTAAAATAGATAGTTGCTTTTCTTGGCAGTATCACATTACTGTGAGGGAAAAGGGCAAACAAGAGTCTGCAAGGTGTATTGAGGAGTTCCGGCTCTGCCACAAAAAACTAGTTTTTATGACTTTGGTCAAGTTATTGTACCTCACTGGCCTTAACTCACCTGTAACACAAACAGTTGGATTAAATGACCTTCACGTTTTGTTGAACTTCTTAAATCCTGCAATATCTTTTCTGCCATAAACAGAGAAAGGAAATAGATCCTGTGTATGTAGAAAGGTTAAAAAGATTAACACATTTCCTAGAATAAATTCCAATCATCAGTAATTGACTACAGATACTTGAAAGATGACTGATCAAAGCATGAGGGGAAATTGAGAAGAGATTTTAATTATAACTTAAGAGTTAATGAAAAAGGAGGCCAGGCATGGTGACTCACGCCTGTAATCCCAACACTTTGGGAGGCTGAGGCGGGTGGATCAGTTGAGGTCAGGAATTTGAGACCAGCCTGACCAACATGGTGAAACCCTGTCTCTACTGAAAATACGAAATTAGCTGGGCGTGGTGGCGCACGGCTGTAATCCCAGCTACTTGGGAGGCCGAGGCAGTAGAATCACTTGAATCTGGGAGGTGGAGGTTGCAGTGAGCCTAGATCGCACCAATATACTCCATCCTGGGCAACAGGAGCGAAACTCTGTCTCAAAAAAAAAAAAGTAATGAAAAAGGTAAGATCATCAGTTGGCTAGAAATAATAACATTAAAGAATATTCATGGAATGTTTGCCATATTCCTAGGCAGAGAGCTTTCTGGTAGACATTTAAAAATTGTCCTTGCAGAGCCTGGCCAATGTGGCGAAACTGTATCTCTACTAAAAAATTAGCTGGATGTGGTGGTGCACACTTGTAATCCCAGCTAGTGGGGTGGCTGAGGCATGAGAATCGCTTGAATTCGGGAGGTAGAGGCTGCTGTGAGTCGAAATCGTGCCACTGCACTCCAGCCTGGGTGACAGAGCGAGACTCTGTCTCAAAAAAAATTAATGAATAAGTAAAGTTGTCCTTGTATTTTCAAAATTAATGATTCTTAGTGTGATTGAAGATCTGCTATTTAAAATTTAAATTTTTGGTACATCTATATGGAAAGTTTATGGGTATGAATTTGTGGGGTCCCTACCAGCAAGCTGTTATGCAAACTTTGGGTAAAGTAAAATTTTGTACATTAGCTGTATTCAAGGCATTGCCTGTTAATCATGTACTCTAATATTGAGCTTTTGTTTTGTTTTTAGTTTGCCTTTGAGAGAGAAATTTAAAAGACTGAACCTGTAATCCAAAATTCTGAAGTTAAAATAGGTGTTATAGTCAGATTTTTCCAGAATTTACATTGCTTTGGAGTAAGATAAACATTTTAAAAACTACTAAACTCATTGAGACTAATATCAGGATATTGTTAATAAATAACTTCTGCAGTACACTAATTGCTTCTCTGATGGCTAGTGTTTATAAATCTTTTAAGGTTGTAACATAAAGAATTTACTTAATGATAACCCTGCCTCCAGAAACTTCCAAATTGCTGAGTTCTAAAAGCTCTTTTGTCCATTGAAAGATCCTCAACCAGTGGCTAGTATTTGTTTTTCTCTCCTAGTATTCTAGTTATGTTACCAGAATGAGATAAAGGTTTTTTATTCTAATTCTCTATAATCTTTTCTTCATCCTTTGTTTTCTTATACTTTTAGTATACTAGAGTATTCAATGGGAAAGGTATTCAAGTTTTTAAGTAAACTAATTTCTTGCAAGATTTTCCAATTTGACTTCTGTATTATAACCAAAATTACTAGAAAGCTATTAAAAAGTGTTATACAAATATAGAGACATTTAGAATTAAGGTGAGTGGGGTTTGAGTTTACTTGACAGGTCTTTTAGCATGTTGAGTATTTGAATGCCTCTTAGGGGAAAGGAATATATATATTCTTACTTCCTAAGAGTGATTCTGGTAAGTAATGATTGAGTTTTTTCTACTAATATTCTCAGTCATGTACTGAGAACATGAAGACGTATCATGGAATTTAATTTTATGCCAATTTTCAACATGGGGTGAAATGTGATACATAAGGGAAATTTAAATAAAGCATCCTACTTTGTAATATGTGGTAAAAACTTATACCCTTTTAATTATAGTTGGAGACCATGTACGTTGGTCATAATAGTTCATTACATGTACGTTTATGTATTTCAGAAGTCATTTTTTAAAGTTTTTGCTAAATCACACATTAAAAGTGAATTAATATGCTTTGTTGTTGAGTTTATGTAGTTGTTATATGTAGTGTATTCCTAATTCTTAAATACTTCCTAATTCTTAAATTTGAAAATGTAGTATTTGTATTTTACCATACTCGTGACATTATATTTTACAGTTATTTCTTATATTGTGAATGTTAGGCACTTTGCCTTTTTATATTGTTCTTTTCATATTAAAACAATGTAAAGTTACTGTTAGTGCATTTAATGAGATTGGATTTGTTTAGAACTATTGAATGGTGAAGGATGACAAAAATATGGTGATAACAGGATAATGATTTCTTTGTGTGAAATTTTATTTATAGCAGATTGTTGCCCTTAGTTTTCTAACTTTTGCCGAACATTCTTTAAAAATGTACTAATGAGGTTAAAGATTTTCTTTCAGTTTTATTTGATTTTTTTTTGTTGTTATTTGCAGTATATCAGTTTCCTGAACGATTTCAATTTTGGTATTGTCAGTGGAAATTAAATAATAAAGGGACAATTATGAAAGAACTATTTTTCTCTCCTAGTGTCACTGAACTGTATTTTTAAAATTATGGTTTTTGATTACTACATCCATCTTAATACTGTCTATTCGGTATCTGTAGAGCAATCCTTGTCTTGCTTATTGTGTGTGTATGTCTGATGTTGGACAAATTACATGTGTCCCTTTATTGATAGCCTATTCTAAAACCATGTGAGGAACATTGGTTTACATAGGGATATATATAGTTTATTAATAAAACCTTAGTTTGTCAACTTAAATATATTTTAAATACAAACTTAGGGATAAGAATTTCATGAAATACTTGAAAACTGTTGAATTTTAGCATAAACCCTTATAGTCTCATACCTGGGATGTAGCTGACAAATTATTGCATTGTAAAATGAATCACGTGAATCACGGAAGCTTTAAACTTTTTCTTTTTATAGCCCTACCTGAACCCATCCTTCCATCCCTCCAAAAAATTTACCCAGTAAGTGTTTCTTATAAATTATTATAATACATTTTATGTCAAATGTATATAGAACTATTATAAGTAGTATTAATGTGACTATAAAAGTAGTAAGGTTAAGTACATAACATTTTCTATATATACCAAGAGAACATTTAAAATGTTTCATATTCTGTTTCAGAAAACTCTCATACTTGTTATTTTGTTATTGGCAGACAGTCTGGTCAGTTGTGTTAATGGTGGAATTTGTTTTGCATGATGCTCAAGATTATCACTAATGGAGATTAAATATACTCAGTTGCCCATTTGGCCTTATTCCAGTTTTCTTCCTACTATTTTAAAATATAGCTTCACAGGATTTCTTTAGTTAGTAACTCAGACATTTTTTAGCCCAGTATATTTATACTTTGAAAAGCAGGGGGAAGAGAAGTTGAACAATTGGATAATCTTTTTGTCTTTAATTTGATCTTGCCAAGTAATACACCAAAACAGGTAATATTAGTACACTATTCTTGTCTGCATAATACTATGAATCCTGCTGACATTAATTGGAAACGTTCAAGAAATGAAGTGTGGCTACTAGAAAAGATTTAATATGTACTTAGTTTGAGTTTAGAGACACATACGTTATGTATGTATTCATCATCTATAAGAATCCTTGTGTTTCTTTTTCAGTTTTCGTGTTCTTTCTCCAGAATTCTCTGTTTCTTTGTTTTATATCATTAGTGTTTTCCTCCATAGTCATCCTTTTTCCTGCATTTATTTGGAAATAATATTTAAGCTACTTGTTTAGAATGTTTGACTGCTCTTCTGAAACCACATAATTTTTACATATTGGTTTCATATACTTATAAGAAGAGCTGTCTTCTGAACTTACTAAATAGTCATATTACAAAGAGAAATATAATCAGCTTAGACGATTAATTTTCAAAAAACGTACTTATTGTGTTACACAAAATATAACAAATTTACTTGAAATGGAACATCAACTAATACAGTTTAATATCTGATAATTGAGAAGGACCAATGTTCTTGGTTTTGAACATAAGTTATTATTGTAATGCACACATGCAAGGTGCTGGATAATAAAGGTTCATTTTAATACAGCCTTGCTGTAGTGGAGATCTCACATTCTGTGGAAGGTCATCTACTAGAAGAGACTGTATAACAAGAGCCTTTTTTTTTTTTTTTTTTTTGATACGGAGTCTTGCTCTGTCGCCCAGGCTGGAGTGCAGTGGCCGGATCTCAGCTCACTGCAAGCTCTGCCTCCCAGATTCAGGCCATTCTCTTGCCTCAGCCTCCCAAGTAGCTGGGACTACAGGCGCCGTAACTTGAACTTTTTGACCTTATTCTTTGAAATCTTTTTTTATATTCTTTTTTTTTTTTTTTGTAGAGACGGTCTTGCTGTGATGTCCAGTTTGGTCTCAAATTCCTGGCCTCAAGTGAGCCTTCTACCTTAGCCTCCCAAAGTTCTGGGATTATAGGCATGAGCCACTACACCCAGCCTGTTGGCCTTCATTTTGAATGTTTTTATCTCTCCATGAAGTATTGACTCTTCTGTTCGTACTGAAAGGTCATATTTCATTTTATTGACCCAATCTCATCTTGCTTTAAGACCCAGGTGTCAGTGTAGAAAGAGCTGCATATGTTCTTTAGCAAAGGATCTAATAAACTTATCCCTAAAATAATATTGTGTATTGAAAAACGCTTCTGCAGCAGTCTCACTTAAAACCCTATGCTACATGAAGCTCTTTTTACTAATATAGGACACTGGCAAAATATCAGTGTACTGTGGTTGGGGTCAGAGGTAACGCTTTTATAATACTCAGGTTCTTACTAACGGCCCCATTTTCACTTCTGTGTTCTGTTTTTCTTATTATCTAGCTTTCTTCCATGACAGAGTCCTGACTTCTGTTCATATCCACTACCTCTGGCCCTATATTCTCCATCTGTTTTGCTTATAAGCTTATTTCTATACCTGCAATGGGGAAATAGATTTAGCCCCAAGACCTTAAAAAATACTAATAGCAAGACCTACCAGATTAGGAATCTCCTGATTTGCATTCACATATAGTTACATTGCCATCATAAATATTGAATTTGCCTTTACTATAAGATTTTTGTTTACATGGGTAGGGACTTAACTACCTCTTCTCACACAGGATTTTTTGTTTTATATGAAACCTGTAAGCTGGTCAGCAGAACACATTTTTAATAGTCCGTCTGATGTAACAAACAAATCAGCTTATTTGCTATTAATAATAACCAGCCGGGCACGGTGGCTCATGTCTGTAATCCCAGCACTTTGGGAGGCCGAGGTGGGTGGATCACGAGGTCAGGAGTTCAAGACCAGCCTGGCCAAGATGGTGAAACCGCATCGCTACTAAAAATACAAAAATTAGCCAGGCATGGTGGCAGGTGCCTATAATCCCAGCTACTTGGGAGGGTGAGGAAGAGAATTGCTTGAACCTGGGAGGCGGAGATTGCAGTGAGCGGAGATTGCGCCACTGTACTCCATCCTCAGCGACAGAGTGAGATGCCGTCTCAAAAAAAAAATATATATATATATATAATAACCATAACCATTGTTTGTTTAGTATCCATTATATGTCAGCATACTGTACATTTTATACACAATTTTAAAAATCCTGAACAAATACACTTGCAAGGTATTATCCCTTTTTCACTAATGAAGGAACTGTTTTAGAAATGTTACATGATTGATCCAAGTGGTACTAACAGTTTTTCCATTATACTGTTTCTTGGGGGAAGGCAAAATTATGGTAGTATTCACTAACATTTTACCTAATTTCTGTTGCTTATTACATTTTATTTGTATACATCTGATTGTTCTTATACAGATATACCTTTAAGGACAACAGTTACGGCAAAATTTCAGCTTGTATAAATAAGTTTAAGAATGACACCATTTTAAGTAACAACAACAAAAAAAAACTTTGTTACTTTACAAAGGAAACCACAGGGTTCTTTTAAATTTGGAGCTTCTCTAATACAAAATAGGGTTTATTTTTAAAATAAAACAATTTTGGAATGGAATAAGTTTGTTCAGTATACTGTGCTTTTTAGTCATTTTCATATTTTCTTTTCAAAATTTGTAACATTTTAAATATTTTAAAAATTGGTATATTTCAGTTCAGTTGTGATATGAAAGGGATAAAAGGCTGTAAACATTGTGAAGACTATATTATAGTATAGAATTACTGATTATTACTAAATTCTTATTGACTTAAACAACATAACTGATAGAGGGCAGAGTATTTACTATTCAGTTGAAGAAATGAAGCTGAGAAAGTTAAATATATAAACAGATAAAGCTTATGAAAGAATCTTTATTTTAATGCAAGCATATTACTATGAGGGTTAACTTAAATTTATGCTAGGTAGATTTATCAGTACAACTTGTATTTTTTAGCTATTTGTTTCCTTCCCTAAAAGTATCTTTGTACTCTAGGAGTCGCAAGAAAATAACCCTCTTCTTTTTAATAGTTATGAAATAAAGAATTCTAGAGCTTTTCTGTATAGTTAAATGTTAAAAACACCTTAAATTATACATATACAGTAATGTGCTGCATAATGATGTTTTGGTTAATGACAGACCACATACATGATGGTGGTCTCATAAGATGATGATAGAGCTGAAAAATTCCTGTCACTTGGTTTTTGCTGTACTATACTTTTTATCATTATTTGTGAGTGTACTCTTTATGCTTAAAAAGCAAGCTAACTATAAAATGGCCTCAGGTAGGTCCTTCAGGAGGTATTCCAGAAGGAGACATTGTTATATGAAATGACAGCTCCATGCATGATATTGTCCCCAAAGATCTTCCAGTGGGACAAGATGTGGAGGTGGAAGACAGTGATAGTGATGATCCCAATACTGTGTAGGCCTAGGCCGATGTGTATGTTTGTGCCTTTGTTTTTTAACAAAAAGGTTTAAAAGTAAGGAAAAAAAAATTAGAAAAAATCTTATAGAATAAGGATATGAAGAAAGAAAATATTTTTGTATCGTTGCGCAGTGTGTTTTAAGCTGTGTTGTTACAAAACAGCCTAAAAGTTAAAAAGTTTTTAAAATAAAGTTACAGTAAACTAAGGTTAATTTATTATTGAAAAAAGAAAAAATTTTAAATAAACTTAGGGTAGCCTAAGTGTACAATATTTATAAAGTCTACAGTAGTGTATAGTAATGTTCTAGGCCTTCGCTTTCACTCACTACTCTCTCACTGACTCACCCAGCAACTTCTACTTCTGTAAGCCCCACTCATGGTAAGGGTATACTGTTTTTTATCTTTTATACCATGTTTTTAGTGTACCTTTTCTATGTTTAGATACACACATACTTATTACAGTTGCCTACAGTATTCAGTAATAACATGCTGTGCAGATTTGCAACCTGTGCAGACATACCTTTGAGGTGTTGCAAGTTTGGTTCCAGGCCACCACAATAAAGTGAGTCACATGAATTTTTTGGTTTCCCAGTGTATACAGAAGTTATGTTTACACTATCATGTAGTCTTTTAAGTATGCAATAGCATTATATCTAAAAAATATACATGCCTTTGTTTAAAAATACTTTATTGCTACAAAGTGCTAACGATCAGCTGAGCCTTCAGCACCAGTTGTGGAGAATCTTGCTTTGATATTGACGACTCCTGACCAGGGTGGTGGTTGCTGAAGGTTGGTGTGGCTGTGGCAGTTTCTGAAAATAAGACAACAGTAAAGTTTGCCACATTGATTGACTCTTCTTCACAAAAGATTTCTCTATAGTGTATGATGACCTTTGCTAGCATTTTACGTACAGTAGAACGTCCTTTAAAATTGAAGTCAGTCCTCTCAAACCCTGCCACTACTTTATCAGCTAAGTTTATGTAATGTTCTAAATCCTTTGTTTATACACTTACAAATATTATCCCTCTTTCACGAATGAAAAAACTAAGTCTTAGAAAAGTTACATGGTTGATCCAAGCAGTACTGGGATTTTGTTGTCATTTCAACAAGATTCA